GGGTCACATTTGAAAAAATCAGATCTGTGTCGTTCAGACTGTCATTAAAAGATCAGATACAGTCACATAGGGGCCAAAAAATCGGATTTGGGTCACTTCAGGCTGCAGTCTGAACATAATCTGAGTCTCGTGCAGGTCAAGGTGAAGCTGCAGATTAGTGAGAGTGACTCCTGTATCTGAAATATTGCTCCACATTTCCCAAATAATAATAACACAGTTTGACTTGTATCTGAACTACAAGTGCAGAGCTCTGATTTTTGAACACTTAAGAGTGTCAGAGTGACTGGTTTTACTGTAAACAGGAAACAGCTGACGTGATCGCTCTCACAACTTTATATTCTGCTGCAGTCTTTGTGATCGTAGATTTAAAATCTTGTAACATTCTTCTTGTTTGTGGTGTGAGCTTTTTGTCGCACGTTTAAAAATTGTTTAAGATTGAAAATTCCTGTAATGTGTGGTGGTCTTAAAGCTTGTTAGTTGCTAGTTGAATATTATGAGACATTTTGGGCCAGCGTTTGGCAGTAAATCATTTTATTACACCAATTTATAGGTCAATATGAGCGGAACCAAAATCTGATCCACCAAAATGTTCAATATCGGTGCAGATATAGTGCCAGGGCAGCAGACAGGGGGACAAAGAGGTCTGTTGTTTCAAGCTCCAGGGTTTTAGGGGCCCAGAGATGGACCCTCTTCCTGTCTATTTATATTAAATGGGGCCCCTGTGAGGTCTCTTGCCCCAGGCCCCCGAATTTTCCATCAACAGGCCTGTCCGATACCTGTATCGTATCGGTACATCCCTCCTTTTAATTGCTCAAACACCTTGCGGCGGACATGCGTCTCCACATCTGACATGTGACTTTGCCTGGTGACGTCAGAGACTTGTCTCCATGGAGACAGATCTGTTTAATGCCATACTATGGGACATATAAGCAAAGACCTGGAGTTTAGCAAGTGGCATACTCCCCACGTTTAAAGTAGGATGGGCATTCAATTAAATTTCCTTAATCAATCGTCGGGAGAGTTAACGATCGATTATCCATTAATCATTAATGTTTTTAAATTAAAATGATCATCATTATTATTGCTATCTGTACTACTAATCTGCATAAATAAATTCAACTTTACAACATATAAACCGTAACCACTCTAGAGCCACATCAGCCCGTTTGACATTATAATGTGTTTAATTCAGTTTTGCACAAGTCTCACAGAAACAAAACTTAAAACCACATGGCAAATTTGCATAAACTAAGCAAAGGAAAAAAACAGCTCTTATGCGCTGATGCGACACGACTCAGGTGAATACAGGTTAATGTGACCATATTTGCATTTGTCAAAACCAGGACACCGTCCGGGGGAGGGAGGTGGGGACTCGTCATCGACATTGAGCGACTCTCACCTGGTAAAACCTTTTTCCACTGGACATCGAAACATATGTGCTGCTTTATACACTGTGCACATGGACTCACACTTGTCTCGACCGGAACGGAAAGTGTGGAATTTCTTGTACAAATCATCATTAAATACACATTTGTGCTTCGGTATGTTGCAGACTGACCCACTGTTTGTGTCTCGCTCCTTCTGATGCAGAGAGACATGTACACACCTGTTTGGTCACGCGACGCACAGCAACCTACATTTGGTTTGTTGATTAAAATGAACGTAATCGATGAAATTCTTAATGATCAATTATCGATTAATCGACTAATCATGCCCATCCCTACTTTAAAGTTCCATAGTGCATCTTTAAACATGTGAAACAGCTGTCAGGAACAGATCTTGTAGGCCTAAAACTGATCAACGTCACAACTCAAGTCATTTTACGATTTTAGATCATCTATGACTATTTCTGTGATTTTGTGTCTTTTTTTACTAAACCTGTTCACGGAGACGATGCGTTATCTGCTTTTGTATTAAAAATTATCCAGGTCCATTTGTCTCTAGCACAAAAATAACATTGTGAGTTTAATGAAGGGACAGTTGTGTTCTTGTTGTTGTTTTGGTCTTAAATCCATTGTCTTCTGTCAGACCTGGACTGTTCATGCAGATATGTACAAATATTGTAAAAATGCAAGTATTTATTTATAACATGTGACCATATGTCGTTTGCCATTTGACTTGACCAAAATATATGAAGAAATCTTAAAACTGAACTGTCATGACTCTTGTGTGTTTATTTTTGTTTGCATATCGGCTCGATACTCAATACACTCAAGAATGTAAATGCATGGATTGGGCAATTAATCAAATAAATTCAAATAATTAGAGTTTTTAATATTCAAGATGTTGAAAAATTGTAAAATTGTGAAAGTTTCCTGATTTTCTTACTTACAAAGCAGGATTATTGTGTGTAATTTAAGGTGGTTTACAATTTCTTAAAGCTCCTATACACAGGATTGACTCTTGTGAGCTTTAAGGTGTTCAAATGTTGTTATCTCCTCAGAAACGGGTAGAGAAGAAGAGAAGAAAGTACGGGTGAAAAGAAGGAAGAAAGAAAGGAATAAAAAAGGAAAAGGAAGGGAGAGAAGGAAGAAAGGGAACCAGGAAAGATGGAAGACCCAAGAAGGATGGAGAGAGAAAGAAAGGACTGAAGAGAAGAAAGAAAGGGAACAAGGAAAGAAGGGAGAGCGGGAGAAACAAAGGAAGAAAGAAAAAATGAAATAAAGAAAGAGGGAGAGAAAGAAAAAGGAAGGAAGGAAGGAAGGAAGAGAAGAAAGAACAGGTGAAAAGAAGGAAGAAAGGAGGAAACAAAGATAGAGAAAGAAAGGAAAAGGGAGAGGAATGAAAAAGGGAAAGGAAGGGAAGGAAGAAATAAAGGAAGAAGAAAGAGAAGAAGGAAGGAAGGAAGAATGAAGAAATCAAGAAAAAAAGGATAAAATAAAGTAATAAAAGGTACAGAGCTGATGTTTTTTTTGTTTTTTTTCTTGTGTGCTGTGGCGCTGTGGTGCAGTTGTGTTTGTAGTGTTTGGTCGTGTCCACTAGGGGGAGCCTGAGTCTGTGTTTGTGTGTTTGACTTTCACTTCTCTCTCTACACTTCATTTAAGGTGTCACCGCTTTAGCTAAAATGCTCCGGCTTTACACCTCTCTATCCAGCCTTTATTTTACTGTGTGGGTTTCATTGCTCCAAAAAGAGACATTCTCACAACCTCTCCACAGATCTGACCTATAAACACACACACACACATATACACACACATACATATGTCAGGTCCAGCGTCTGACCAGAAGTGAAGAAGAGGCTTGGATGAACTGTGGAACGTTTTCAACCTAAATAAATGCAACGTTTGTCCAGCTGACAAATTGAGTTTCTACCTAAACACGCTGGAGTGGTGCAGTGTATTAAAACTGTGTTGGTTTTTCCCTCCAGATCTTGGCCTCTTCACACGTTTAAATGGTACGAGCTGCAGCAGAGCGCCCCCGTGTGGAGCCCAGAGTGAACCAGAGTGCCCCGTGTGGAGGCCAGAGCGCCCCGTGTGGAGCACCCCTGTGTGGAGCCTGGTGGTGCACAAGGTTCACACCAAAATGAAAATTAAATGTACTTTATCCTCGTGTGTGTGTGTGTGTGTGTGTGTGTGTGTGTGTGTGCGTGTGTGTGTGAGAGAGAGAGAGAGAGAGAGGAGAAAGAGGGAGGAAGAAGGAGAGAGAAACACAGAAGGAAGGAAACAGAAGGATGGAGGGAGAGGGGGGAGGAGAGAGAAACAGAAAATAGGGGATGAAAGGGATAAAAGCGCGGGAGGAGAGGGAGGTGAAGAGAGGAGAGAGGGGGCTAGAGAGCTAGAGGGACGGAAGTGAAGAGAGAGAGTTAAAGAGACAGAGACAGTGACAGAGAGAGAGGAATGAGAGCAGAGGGAGAAGTGAGAGGGAGGAGAGATAGAAAGACATAAGGGGAAAAAGATGGGAAAGGAAAGGATAGAGAGCAGAGAGGAGAAAGAGAGAGTGACAGAGGTGTGGAGAGAGAGATGACATTGAGCTGAGGTGAGGTGGCACTCTCCTGACACAGCACTCTCTCTCTCTCTCTCTCTCTCTTTCTCTCTCTGTGTTGTTCATCTTTGGGCTGAAATCTGTCCCAGTGTTGAGCTCACAACTTCAACTCACTCCACCTCATGAACTGAACGCACTTTCTGCTCTTTCTCTAAGGCTACGTTCAGACTGCAGGGCTTAACGCTCAATTCAGATTTTTTTGTGAAATCTGATGTTTTTGCGAGGTCGTTCACATTTCCAATTAAATGTGACTTGTATTTGACTCCAGTGTGAACATTAAACGGCCCAAAAGTGTCCCGCATGTGCACTGGAGACACGACGACGTCAACCGCAGTGAGCGTGCTCTGTGTTTACAGAAGTTGTCCAAACATGGACGCAGCATCGAGCACCTGGAGATTTTAAAGTTCCTCTCGTACCGGAGCCAGAACATGAACAACTTACTTGTTTTAAGGAGGAGATTGAGAAGGAGAAGGACGAGGTTTTTGGCCGTGGTGTTTTGTGGAGCAGCGGCAGCGACGTCCGTTGAAAGGAGCGTGTGGATGTGGAGATGGAGCCAAGAGTGGTGAGTGGTGATGTGCTTCACTTCAGTGACACGGAGTTCAACGTAACGTGTAGGTCGGATGAATGCACTCTGGGCGTTCAGACTGAAGTCGCCCCCCCCGAGCATCACACCCCCACCATTTGAAAAGGACTGTTATAGTTTGACAGGAAGGAAAGATTTATTACAACTAAAGTTTAAATTCTAGCAACATTATATTTGATTAAACCAAAACTCAACAAAAATGTAATTTCAAACTATTCAACTATTCCATTCTGGTGTGAAAATGTGTGACTTATCTCATAAATTGATTGTCATAGTTTTCTTTGCTGTTCTCCACACACGTTACACATGTAACTGAGGATTTCACGTGTTACTGGTTTAAGTTGAAAAGTCTGAACACAGATCAACAGACCAGCACTCACTCAGTTTTCTGCTGCTCTGACTTTTTCCTGCATTTCCGCTGGCACAGCTGGCGGAAATGGTGAGAAAATACAAACATCTGTACGACGCGACGCTCAGTGACAAAATGGCAAGGAATTTACGCAGGGACATCGCCAACATGGTTCAGGCTCAGATGAATATCATTCTAGAAAAGTCTGGCCTAATTAAAAAAAAAAAAGAGAGAGAGGTCTGGAGAACGAAAAGAAATACCCTCGATATAACCCTCCTGCAGTGACTGGTCTCCTTCATCAAACACAGAGAAACGTCACCAATATACGTCCTGTTTCAAGTCAAACGGAGGTAAGCTGTAAGAGAGGGGGCGGGGCAGAGAGAGGGGGCGGGGCAAATGTTCTTATGAAATATCAATAGAGGCTTTGCACGTGTCCCCCATGGCAACAGTAACTACGCCACCATGACACCGGGGAAACACTATGTCACTGACTTCAGCAGCATCGGAGAAACATGGGCAGGTTTTGTTGTGTATTTGGTTGTTCTAGACGCTCTGAAAGGGATAAAATGATTTGTTTCTTCACTGTTCCTCTGGAAATGACTCATCAGGATCTCAAACAAGGGAATTATCAAAAATAGACAGGAATTATGTCTAGAGAACATAAACCGCAAAGAGATTTCACGTGACACGTGACGGTGCAAAGCCTCTATAGGCCTTAAGGACAGACAAGAAAACTGTGATGCCCAACGGGAGCTGACGTCAGTGTAAACATCATTCCAACAAAGAGCCGGCACCTCCAGTGGATAACTGCGCATCTGTTACAGCCACAGGCCTCCAGATCCTCCTCTGGCCATGTCTGGTTAGATCCGTGTGTGTGCAAGCCTCCATATACAGACCCCCTGCTGTGATGCTGTGATTGGAGGATTCAATTTAAGCTGGCATCTGGAGCCCCTCCTGCTGATTGGTGGAACCTGAAACACCTGGCCAATCCTGGGCCTACACCTGGAGGACCAGCCCTATAAAAGGACCCGCCCCCTGCCACTCAGGGCTGCTGTTCTGCTGTGGACTGTGTGCCACTTTTGCTGTGGCGCTCTAAGTAATTTTGTGAACCTAGAGACACTAGTAGTCCTTTTGGCTTTTGTAAGTTTGGAAACTGGATTTGTTTTCTTTTGACATTTTGTATACCCTGTTTTGGTTAGCCTACTTTTAGTTATACATTTAGCCACTCTGTTTAGAGCCTCCTTTTGTCATTCTTGTAAATATCCTCTTTTTGTTAGCTTCACCTTAACAGTTCTTTTAAATAAAACACAACTTTAGTTTTACCACCTTACAATCTTGGTTATTTTGTTACTTCCCACTGTCCCTAGCAGAGCTGGGTTGTAACAGCATCACACTAGCTACATTTTTTTCATCTGTACCAAAATGAAACACGACACTGCTGAATCCTATACGCCTATTACTGATTAAGAAAACAAAAGAAGAAGGAGAATGAAATAAGCATGGAGCAGTAGGCATATCGCTGTTGCCGTTAAAACAGGGATTTATCAACAATATAGAAATTAAAGACTGCGCAAACACGCACAAGTCCTTCCAAAAACAACTCCGAGAAAGTAAATGAGAAGGAGAAACAACTATAACACAGTAAAAAGATCTGAAAAGTTCATTTTGTAGAATAGGTCTGCTTTAAGGTTGCTCTGAGTGTGAGACAAAGCTTAAGGACTTCAGATAAAAAGAATGAAAGATGGAGGAGGAAGGAGGAAAACAAAGAAAAAGTGTAGGAGGAGAAAGGAGGAGAGAGATAACGATGACTTGGCTTAGTTTCAGACTCACGTTCATTACATCTCCTTTAAATACATGTACTTGTCACTGCTGTACATTTGAATACATCTGGCGTAATCTCCCATAATGCCGCTGGTGATTCGTGTATGGGCCAGAACGCACTGAACTCTGGGTAACTCTCGGCGCTTTACATGAAACGGTCACGTGACGAGTTGTAATTTTAGTAACATGACGTTCCTGTGACAGCGGCGTTCCTCTTAGCGCGTTGCCGTGTTTTGAACGCTCCCCGGGTCCTGATGCTGCGTCAGCGGAGAAACAGAGGAAAAAGAACAAGAGCTGGAGGGGACTGGAGACCTCTGGGTGACCGAGGGAGTGGTGCATGCTGGGAGAATGAGTTCTTAGAGAGAGAGAGAGCTGTAGTAAGCATTCTGTAACATTGCATTTGAGAAAAAAGAACTACAGTTTAAAGCCTCTTTTTTTTCCTCCATGTATTTGAGTAAAATGTGTCTTGTCCCAGTGCAGATGAATTGTGTAAACAGCTCTTGAGGTCAAAATAAATTCACCATGTACTGTCTGCATATATATATATAGAGGCTTTGCACCATCAAGTGACCCCTATGGCAGCAGTCCCTACGCCACCATGACACTGGGCAACACTATGTCATTGACTTCAGTATCATTGGAGAAACATGGGCAGGTTTTGTTGTGTATTTGGTTGTTCTAGACGCTCTGAAAGGGATAAAATTATTTGTTTCTTCACTGTTCCTCTGGAAATGACTCATCAGGAGCTCAAACAAGGGAATTATCAAAAAAAAGACGCAGATTATGTCTAGAGAACATAAACCATGAAGAGATTTCCAATGGTACCATCAAGACACCCGAAGTTTCATCAAGGTATTTGCTATTTTAATTGTTTCATAGCTTATTTAATGAAAGAAGCACATTTACTGAACAAAAATTGTATTAATTTATCCAGGAAAACCCGCACTAGTTTACGATTCAACGAAACCCACACTGGGCTCCTATGATCAACATGGAGCACGAGTCGAAGAGTCTGTGAGTCGAACCTCGAAAGAATCGACCATGAAAAGATCCGCTCACAAAAAGTGATTAATTCTAGAAGACATAGTTGTGGATAAACAAGACAATAAAGAAAACATGGGTCCTACGACAAGTGACATGTTTATATGTGCTGGAAGATCCAGTTTCTACTGCCACTCACACTGCAAATGTTTTCTTTTTACATTTTAGTTCAGTAAATGTGCTTCTCTCATTAAATAAACTATGAAACAATTGAAATAGCAAATCCCTTGATGAAAGTGACGTGAGTGTGTCTTGATGGTACCATTGGAAATCTCTTCACGGTTTATGTTTTCTAGACATAATTCCTGTCTTTTTTTTGATAATTCCCTTGTTTGATCCTGATGAGTCATTTCCAGAGGAACAGTGAAGAAACAAATCCTTTTATCCCTTTCAGAGCGTCTAGAACAACCAAATACTCAACAAAACCTGCCCATGTTTCTCCGATGCTGCTGAAGTCAGTGACATAGTGTGCCATGTCGGTGTAGTTACCGTTGCCATGGGGGACACGTGACAGTGCAAAGCTGGATTATTTGTTTATGAACACAGTGGAGGTGCGCAGCCTGGGTGCAGAAAGCGGTGCAAAGTGCAGTGAACATGATGTTGCAGCGTTGGCCAGTGATGATGTCGGCACTAAAACAGTTTATCACGTGTGATAAAATCAGTTGTGATGCTAAATGAACATTAGTGAGGGGATACGTCTTAATGACCCGTATGCGTTAAATGCAGGTGAGTGGTAAATGGTACATGGTCACATTTTATACAGCTCTTATCCACTTCAAAGCAAGGCTGGATTATCCATATGCAGTGTTGGGAAGGTGACTTTTAAAATGTATTCCCCTACAGATTACAGATTACACACCCCAAAATGTAGTTTGTAACGTAATCCATTAAATTACTTAAAGTGAGTAACGTAATCTGAATACTTTGGATTACTTGATTTGCTCTAGAGAAGCAAAGACCAGGATATCGTAACATAAGATTTTTTTGTCTGCTAAAAGAAAATAAAAAGCGCAGATTTTACTGAACCAAATTAAAAATATTATTGATAGAAAAGAAGGAGGAGACATGGACTGCACAGCATGGTTTAGTCCTGGTTTTAGTCCTGATTTTAATCCTGATTTTAGTCCTGGTTTAGTCCATTTAAATCCTGTTAAATCCTGTTTTAGTCCTGGTTTTAGTCCTGATTTAGTCCTGATTTAAACCAGTTTTTTTCCTGGTTTTAGACCTGGTTTAGTCCTGGTTTAGACCTGTTTTTTTCCTGGTTTTAGACCTGGTTTAGTGTACGGCAATGAGTGGAATTACCAAAAAAAAAAAAGGGGATATAGCCCCAAATGTGAAAACAGGAAAATACCGTCGTGTAATGCATTTATTTCAACAAAGTAACTGTAATCTAATTACCACTCACTGAAACAGTAACACAGTAACTGTAACTGAATACAGTTACTCATAATTTGTACTCTGATTACATAACTCCAGTACATGTAATCTGTTACTCCCCAATACTGTCCATATGGGCCAGTGACACGATGCCCAGAGGCACCAACCATTCACAACCAGTGGGGGGCACCACTAGACTGATTCATCATCATGTATGGAATGTGCCGGAACACTCAGTAGTGTTCAAATAACTGCAGGCACAACAGCAAACAAAACAGAGAGTGAACATGTCTGAATGATCATTGTCATTTCTGTGAGATGAACTTTGAATTAAAGGTGCAAAAAAAAAAAAAAAAAAAAAGCTAAGTTTGTGTTTGTCAAAGGAAATCCAAAGGAGGAGAGCGTATACAGTCTGATATCATGACTCGGGCTGGTTCAGCTCCTCGCTGATCAGCAGGTGCGTGATCACCAACTTCCAGGGTTTTTTAAACTGTCTAGTGCAGGGGTCTCCAACCTGTAGTTCGGGAGCCACCAGTAGCTCTCCATCCCCTTCCAAGTAGCTCACCAAACAATTTCTGAATTATAAGTTTTGAGCTGAATAACAAAATTAGATGACTAGACTGACTAATAAAATTGTAAATATATCATTTTTATGCCTAATTTACTTTACTTTCTGCACTAATAAATGGATTATAGTCCTCTGACTATTCCTGTCTAAGGCTGTGGCTCTTATATTTACTCAGTTTGTTGCGACTGCCAAAATGAGGAGCTCTCTGGCATTTTTATTTTGTAAAGGTAGCTCACCGGAGGAAAAAGGTTGGAGACCCCTGGTCTAGTGTATTCTGATTCCTGACTTAGTCCCTGGAGAGAAATGAAATTGAAATGAGAAAATGAGAAACTAAGCGTTGGGCACTAGGGGGCGCCAGCCTGGCTACAGCACCTTTAAAAATATTTTTCATAAATT